ATAATGTTCTAAAAGAAACAGCAAATCCAACATCTTTCGCAGAGACTCGTGTTTCTGAGGACAAAGTGTCTAGTGCTTTCAAGCTTTTTATCCATGCTGATATCTTGCTGCATATAAAGAAATGTACAAAATACGAAGCTCATCGCCAACTTGGAAATAAAGACTGGAAGTTATCTCTGGCTGAACAAGGGTATCTAACTCTATTATGTTCGAGGAGTAATAGGAGCAAAGGGCTTAGATTTATATTCCTTGCAGTCCGAAACGTGGATAATACCATTTTGCAAAGAAACTATATCAAGAGATAGATTCAAAGAAATAAAACGATTTTTAGGGTTCGATGAAAAGACAACAAGATCTACTCCATTACAGACTGATAAATTTGCTCTTGCATCAGACACGTGGAACAAATTTATTGAAAACTGCAAAATGTGCTATGGGCTAGGACAAAATTCTACAGTTGATGAGCAATTATTCCCATCTAAAGCTAGGTGTATATTTACACAATATATGCCTAATAAACCTGACAAATTTGGAATAAAATTTTTGTTATCTGTCGACGTCGATACTAAATACCTCTTGAATGGATTTCCTTATCTAGAAAAATTATGTTTGTCTGAAAATGTTGTCATAAAATAAACAGAGTCACATCTAAAAAAGGGAAGAATATTACCACAGATAACTATTTTACTAGCATTAGATTAGCAGAAATGCTAAAATAAAAAAATACGACTATGGTCGGCACAATGAAAAAGAACAGAAGAGAAATTTGTATATTTTTGAAAAATGTGCGTAGTAATCTTTATTTATCAACAATAGTGGAACATGATAATATCACACTTACAATTTATCAAGGCAAAAGAAACAAAAGCTTTTTTCTACTGAGCTCATTACATTCTACTGTAAAAACTGAAGACAGTCTCAAGAAGTTGCCTGTTTCAGTAGCATTTTACAACGCAACATGTGGATATTCGTGATCAGATGTGCTGAAAATATTCTAAATCGGCTTCTAGCCAATGATCTGTACATATCTTTTTCACTATTTTGGATCACGTAGCTTTGAACGCCTGGATAATTTATAAAAGTGTAACAGGAAACACCATTAACAGGGGGGATTTTCTACTGAAATTAGGAGAGGAGTTGAGAGTAGTACATATGCCTTCAAAACTCCCAAAGATCCTTCCTGAGTCTTTAGCAAAAAACACATGAAACGAAAATGGATATAAAGAGAAAAAAGTGTCAAGTACAGAGAAGCAATGGAAACAAATCTTAAGAATATTGTGCATCTTGTTCCAATGTCGTATGCAGAAAATGCACTGGAAAAATTGTTAAAAATTATTTTTGTATGAACTGCAGTAATTCTTAATATCTATGTGTAATCTCTAATATTTTAAACATTAAACAGAATTGTAACAAAATGCTTTACATATTCCATTCAGCTACACATATAATGATGTAACTGAAACATCAGAGAACATTTCTCATTTTTGCATTTAGAGAAAGAAACATCATCCAAGTTAGTACGTAAAAAAATATTATTTTATAAATTGTCTTTTATTTTAGTTAACACTAGTTTTAATTTGTGAAACCATTTATTTGAAATCAATTCTTATTAATTTAAAAGTCAAACAACAAAAATCAGCGTCAAAGTTTCACAGGACTAATTTCGATGGTTTTACCAAACCATCATCCTTAGCTGCAAAAGCGCAAATGAACAAGATAAGATATAATGATAAGATAAGACAAGAAAGCTTGGACAGGAGATAAGCTACTGGTGCCATCTGTTGATGAAACCAGAACTAAAACTTAATTTCTTTACAGGCTGAAGGCAAAGATGAATTGGAATTAGGGTTGTTAACTAAAACAGAAAGATTTTTTTTCAATGTGATATGCCTCTAGAAAATCCAGTTCACCAATGGAAGATCTTTTTTGAATAATTTTGGCAGCAGAACAATTGAAAGTATGATTTGCGGACCAACAATGTTGGGCAACAGAAGACTTCTGTGTTTCCTTTTCTCTAACAGATGCCTCATGTTCCTTAACGCGAAATTTTAAGGCTCTCTTAGTTTGGCCAATGTAAATTAAACCACACTGGCAAGGAATTATGTAAATACTTCAGGAATTTATATCTGGAATGGGGTCCTTGAGTGTGGAACTCATAATTTTATTGATGGGAGAATAAACAAACCAAAAGCTAAATTTCTGTACTAAGATTTGAGTTCAATCTGTAAAAAGTTCATGTTTCTGGAACATACACATCACAATTTTAATACTTCAGGGAAGAATTTCTAAAAATGTCTGCACACAATGTCACAATTATAGAAATTTTATATACCCATTAACTGTTATGAATAATAATAAACCTTAAAATTTCACACATACTAATCTTCACATTTATATAAGTAATATTTTATCATTTGTAATAGCATTATTGAAATTATGATTTTTACTTTTAATATTACATATCACAATTTTCTTATTTTATACAAACTGGAAGATTCCACAGCTGAGTTCTAGTACACACATATAACACTTTAACGAACTCTCATATTAAATTTTCAGGATTTGTTAAGGGGTTGCTTTGACAGTTACTTATAAAGGCCTCCGTTTCTTGTTTAAAGACAACTGGCCTTTTGAAGTGTATTACAACATTCCATTATATTTAAAAAAAGAACACTGCATTACATGAAAAAAATAATCATAAAAAATTCAATAAAGTGGGAGCCTTCAAAGTGTATATTGAAAACAAAGAAATTTCTGCAAATTGAAATTTTTAAACAATAATTTCATTCTTAAATAAAGCAGAAATTCAAAAATATAAATTCAGAGGCATGTAAACAGTAGTACAAAAGTATTAATCATGTTAGGATCTTTCCCTAAGTAAAATCTTCAAATTTCTTTACCTAATTTTTATTAAATTCAGTATTTTTTAAATTCAAGTGTACGAAACTACATTATAAATAAATCAAAATTTTGCATATTATTGACTTTCATCTTAAAATGACTTAAGCAAAATATTACCGTCAATAAATCATAAAACAACACAATTACTTATAAATGCAGAATTATTTTAAAACATAATTTACTCAATTAAAAACTTTAGCTTTAGAACTGAATACCACTTCAATATCACTTCTAATGACTTTCGATAATATTCCATTCTTTGAATGAAAAGAGCATTGAAATTTTTGAAGAATTTCTTGAATGAAGCACTGAAAACACAAAAGAGCACAAAACACTGTTCTGTATTTCACATTTCACTGATAAGGGTTGTTGACCTTCAAAGCACTTTGGATGTTACTTTTATGCAATGATCAGAAATGCATAAACATTGCAAATATTTGATGTGAGCATGAACCATTAACCATATTTCTATGCTGCAACACTGATTTAATAACCTTGATTCGAAATGCTTTTTCTTATCTTAGATTTTTGAAATTCCAGATAATCAAGATTTGATTATGAATGTGGCGCAAACTTACATTTAAATTTTCGGTGAAATGGGACTTTTCCCATGATTCACTGTGATAAAGCCGTGTAGACTTCTTCATAATTAGAACTGGCTGAATAATTTTTTCCATTTGAGTGTTGAAACACAGGTACACATCCTGATCGACTTTATCGTATGTAATGTTTTTGAAACGTCGTGATGGCATAGTGGCAGGCTGGGAAGATGAGCTGATGGTGCTGACACAAAAATGAATTAGACAAATTCCCAATCTTTATTTCCACGCATATAAAATCATCTCAGTAGATATTTATCCAAGCATAATGAAATCCAATACATTTCTGTGATTCAGTCATAATGAAATATCATAAATTTCTATATACATTTTTTTTTTTTTTTTTTTTTTTTTGTAAAGATAAGATGCAGGCATTTTAGACGGCGAAGCAAAGCAGCGTAGATGTTGGCGTAGCGGAGGCTAGCACAAGAATGACGTAATTAATTCGCCAGCTGCATTTAAACTTAGTCTGATGTAGTTGTAGAGACAACTATGATCGATTAATTTGAGGTTATTATATAATCATGGAAGGATCTCTAATTTGGGAGAACAAATGAATATATAGGGGAAGAGCATAAAATCTGGAATTGTTAATTTTAAGGTCACCAATTATTCTTAAAGCAGCCATCGTATTTTGTTATATTTTACATATATATGTGTTTGTCATGTGCAATTGACAAATTTTTTTGTTTTCAAATGGTACCATAATTAAATTACTCTCAGCACAGCCGACATGCACTTTGCAAATAGACCAGAATTTTCTTAAAACTCACCTGGAAAAGTCAGGGAATTTCATTCTCCTCTTTGAATGGCAGCTCTGATATATTTATGTATAATATAGGAACATCTGATTGATTAGTAGTTTCACATCATTTATTGTGTATCATAGAGTTCAGGATAACTCTTCATAAATAATTCTGCATCTGTTGAAAAGAGTACACATAGTGTGCCATGAAGTGATGTGTCTCGTAACACTATCTTATTCATTTATGTCTGATATTTATATATAAAACATATATTAATAAATATGGACCAACTCTTAGTAATTTTGGTGTCCTAATGCTGGATTTCCTCTGATTCTAATTTATGCCCATTCATGTTTCTTTGGTATAATTGTAATTTTAATTGAACTGTTTATTAACATTTTCAGTAATTGCAGCTTTTAATAGGCATGTTTAGATATTTTAAGTTTCAAAATTGTATTTCATAGTACCATCACTCTTTCTTTTTTTTGAATTTCTACTTATTTTTTCTTTTATTTTTGTAATTTATGGCTTTCTTTGTTCTTCATGAGAAATAAATCTAATTTAGTTCATAAAATCTAAAATAGCAGGGGGAAGAATGGAATATAAATAAGTGCTTTTGATTAAAGTATGTGATGTTATTTCACCATGAAATTATTTTAATGTGATAGAGTTTTTGTTTAATTGAATTTGCCAATTTTTATGTGTCTTTTAAATTAATAATTATTTTAAAATACATTTCTGAATTATTTCTTAGTTTGGAAGATGCAAATCCCTCACTACCTAACATTGAGGAAAAACAGAAAGATGTGGACTGTCCAACTCTATTGCCTGCTTATTCCTTTGAAATTCCTCATGTTGATATTGTGAATAAAAATGTGTGTAATAGTGAAAGTGAAATTCTGCATGGCTCTAAATTTTCCTCATCAAACAGTGATCTGATTTCTCTGCTTCACAGTGATGTTTCAACAAAATTCGAATCATCCATGTATGCTCATAATTCTCATTTCAGTAAAGTGAAGCTGGAATTACCTGATGCAAGTCAGCCCATTCATGTAAGTATGTCTATGACCTAAATTAATCTAGAAAAAAAATTATTACTAAAGTTATTGCAGAATTAGCATGTGTGAATTATAGCAAATAAAGTGTTACTCTCCTGCAGGAAAAGTGGAATGAATATAACGAATTCAAATGGTGTCATGATTTTACTGATGTGAGTTACAAAAATGGCAGTACAATATTTAAAGAACAAGTAACATACAATATATCAAACCACAAGCTATGGCAAGATACAGAACTAAAAAAGTAATTGTTTCATATATTTTATATATATAGATAAATATAGATTTCTTATGTCAAAAGATGTAGGTAAAAGTTATTTGTTAATATCAGTAACTTTATCTGTTTATAATCTTTCTCATGTTTATACAATTACATTTATATTTAAAATATTAACATGCATCAGCTGCATATTAAACATACAAATAGTTAAATTCTGATATTTATCTGAAATTTTTTTACTTGTGTTTTAATCAGTTTTATTAAGTCTGGATACTTCTATGTAAATGTCCGTTATCTGGACCACCAGCACTTTTTTTGAAGAATTTTTTTTGCGGAAAGAGAGAACGAAGTAGATTCTGAGCGTAGCTAACTTTAGCCATATGCTTTATGCTTCATGAATGCACAGCACATTTTTCTTTTTATGAGGAGGAATTCATAATTTCTCTTTGCAGTAAACGAAACACCTTCATGTTAAAGAAACATTATCATTTACTAGCATAAGTCTGTATTAATCACTGATTTGGCTCCATAGCCACTTTTTGCCTTGGGATGCAACTGGAAACTAAAGCACTGCCAAAATTCATGGACTCATTTTACTCTTAACACAGTACCTTACATACATGAAACCAAACTGGCCAAAGTTGCCATGCTACCTGGGAAAAAAGAAAGGTTGGAGAATTCGAAAATTGATCAAACTTTGATAAGTTTTTTTTTATTTTCGTTGCTGTTGACTAGGCTGCTTGAGAAATGACTCATGTGTTGGGCAAAACATTTTTTTAATACTAGTAACTAAATGTTAACCAGCATGGTAACTTTATTTTGACATGACACTTAATGAAAAAAAAACGGACTTCAGCCAATTGCACTGTGAAGTGTTTAATTTGTTGACGAGGGCAAATTTAAGAGAACTGTTTCTCCATATGCAAAAATTGGATTTTGAAAATGGTATTTATATCTGAAAAGATTTAATATAATGCTGTTTGAATTAAGATTACCTGATTTGTTGTCCAGATAAGCTCAGTGTATATGAGAATTTATTTATTCTGGACTGAGATATGTCATAAACATATGTGGGAAATACAATTAAGTATAATAAATAACTAGCCTAATATAATTCAGGTTTAACTTTCTCAGTGCACAATAAAAGCAGTTAAAAACTTAGTGGAACAACACGTTTGTAGTCACTAGTCTCATGATACATCACTGATAGTGTATAGCAGCTGCTAGCTAGGTTTATGATGATAGCCATGAATTTTATGTTTTTTTTTTTATTTTATTTATTTATTTATTTATTTGTATATTGCAAAAAAAAACAAAGTTTTCAGATTAATGCAGTTTGTCAAGGAGTGGCAATAAATGAAGGTGATTATGATAGAAGTTTTCCTTTATGGTGATAGTGTCCCAATCATCAATCAACTAATGGACACTGAAATGTATAGTATGATTCTAAATCCTGAAAATACCACTACCAATATTTTAGAAAGTGACAAGAGAAGTTTCTCAGAATGGAAAAAATTCAATTGACACTTTAATGGGAATTTTCAACTCAGTACTTACTGGACTTGAACAATCAAACTTTGCAACTGAACAAGAATTTCTGTCTGTCTATAAAGTTAAGGAGTATTAGCACAAAAAAAAAAATTGAATAACATTACTTAAACATTGAAAGTTATGTTTAATAAAGCAAACAAATAAACATTGAGCTTTTTTGGTAAGTTTTGATTCTTTTAAGGTCATAAAAGCTACATATTTTTATTAATTTTCATATGTTAAAAAGTTATTATGATATATTACACTCTTTTGCCAAAAAAAATCTAAGCACTATGAAGGAAGTGTTTGTTTTTGATGAAATTGAATATGTGTATAGCTTATATGCAGATAACAAAATGATTAAAAAGTCATGGTCATAGTACCTGTTCGTGGCTCACAATCACCCATTGAGTGTTCAAATTAGTAGTTGGTCGAAGTGCCCCTAGCGGCAATACATGCTTGAATTCATCAAGGCAAGGAGTGGTAGAGGTTCCTAATGTCATTCTGCGACACATTCTGCCAAGCATTCATCAGTTGTTCCAGATCTGCAATATTTTGTGGTGCCCGAATCTGGCGGCCTACCATGTCTGAGAAATGTTCGATTAATGAAAGGTCTTGTGACTTGCTGGCCAAACAAGAGTATCAACCGCACGGAGACAACCCAGAGATATGTGAGCATTATCTTGGAAAATGGCCCAGGATGACATACCATGATGGGTAATGCAACCGGCGCAGGTTGGTATCAGCATATCGTTGAGCTGTTACGAATGTACTGAGGATGACCTGCTGTCATAAGACATAGCACCCCACACCATCGCACCAGGGGTTATGGCTGTATGCCTCTGTAAAAACAAAGGCTGATTGGTACGGCTGGCCTCCTCCTTGGTGGTCATCTGCTTCAAGAAAGAAGCAGGATTCATCGCTGAACACTCTGCGATACCAGTCTGATGTCAGCCATGATGATCGGCTGCGACACCACTCCAGACTACTCCGCCGATGTTGTGGGGTCAAAGGCAAATGTCTTAAAGGCCTCTGTGAGCATAACCCCACCTTAGACAAGCGCCATGAGATGGTGGACGGTACCATGGTAGGTATAGACGTGGCTGTAGTGCGTTGAATAGTCAACAATGATACCTTTAGGACAGTACGGGCCTGGCGAACAATCATCCTATCTTGCCTCGCATTTGTGTTCTTTAGCCTTCCAGGGCCTTCATTTTGTTGGTAATTTCCTTGTAGCAATCATTGCTGCCAACATCTTTGCACACAGTGTCTGTACGTTCCAGGTCGTAGCCTATTCGGTATGACGACCCAGCTTCGTGCAAGCCTACAATGTGATCACGTTCAATGTCGTTTAGTTGTCTGTAAGGTCTTTGATATCATCGTAATTGCATCTTTAGTTGCTGCTTTACGGAATTACAATGGCAGCAACAACAACAACAAAAAAAAAAAAAAAAGATATATTTTCCACCTCTGTTACTGGTTTTATCCTTTGTGAATTGTGCACTAGAAATGCATGCTATGGTCGCAATTCCTATTCATTTGGCTTAAAAATTTGGTCATTTGCATGTTCAGTCGAGATGTTTTTGCATACTGAATTTCGTCATGATCGTAAAAGTCCTTCTTGGTGCTTCAATTTTTGTTCAAAATAGTGTATATGTTAACATATACTTTAAAACACATGTGTGTGTTAAAATGTTAAATGTACATACATGATCGAATGTTATATTTGTGTACATGATGAAAGATTATAAGTACCTAGTGTGTATCTGTGAGTGTGTATATATATATATATATACATGTTACTATTCAATAGGCAGTATTCATCGGAATATTACCTGAGTGAAGCTAAAAAGCTGAAGCATCAAGCTGACAAAGAAGTAAGTATATGCATAGTGATATGCTTGGAAAAAGTACCTATTTTACATTAAATGGAAATAAAATTTATTTTTATATATTTATATGATAATTTACAAGACAGCAGTCATAGTTGATTATATGATGTTAGCTTTACAGTTCATAGTTTTAAGTCTTTAAACTGGCCTTTAATCATTGCCTCTTATGCTACTATATTACTGGTGAATATTTAAATTAGTGCTTTAAATCAATCAGTGACATCAATAAAGTATTTAATGTATTAAGTTCAGAAATCTTGGCAGTCATAAAACTATAACTGAACTTTAGATAGACTGGTAGACACTCTTTAGGTTGTAAGTGTGCTTGGGAGTTTTTTAAAGAAATAAGGAGTGACAAAGTCAGTGAAAGAGATCATATTCTGAAATTTGCAGAAAGATAAGAGAGAAGTATATTTCAGGAAAGCTGAAAATTAATCTTTGAAAAATAATCTCAGAATTTTTGATAAAGTGCAAATGCGACTGGTTTGTGCTTGGGTAAAAAGCAGATGACAACCATTTTCATAATTAAAAAAAAACTAAAATTTATCTACTTCTTTTACTGTTTGCATGCATATTAATTTATTTTACGGCTTTCTGTAGGCATTAAAAAAGTAAATTTTGTCTAATTTTGTGCATTGAAAAGATTTTGGTAGATTTCTTTAATAATACTACTGAACAATTTTGGAAATTTATGTTTATTAACTATGTATATAGTGTATTATTTGTATGGAGCATATTAAATAACTAACTCAACTCAAAAAGTATGAAGATGAGCAATTTTTAATAGCTTTTTTTAAGAAGGCCTAATCTAGTTAGCTGTAACGATAAATTGCAAAAAATTGTTCTTGGTAAAATCTGCAGAGTAGTTTCTTTGCCTCCAAGAATACTGTAAACACACCTATATATGTGAGTCACAATTTAATTGAAAACATATGAAACTAATTGAATAACTCTGTTATTGTAATATTTCAGTTACTTATTAATTATATTACTGAAGTTTGAAACATAATTAGCAGTAAAAGCCACGATGCCATATTTTAGGCTAAGGTGTGTAAAATTAGTTTTAACAGCTTTATTTTTGCAATATTTTAGACAATTTTTTATCAAATCTATATTGCAAATGATTTTGCATTTAATATTTTAATCATTAGCATTTAAAGTTACAACTGACTTAACTATCACAATAATGACGAATAATTAGCGAAGTTTTAGCTTTTTAGTCCGAAGGGGCTTTGTCGCTGAAGGACTATTGTTTTCGTTTTGTGTTGAAAACTTTAAAAGGCTATATCACTTTTCAAATCATTGCCACCAAATACTATTGCCTTTACTATATTTGAAGAAATAAAATAAAGAAGGTTCTGCATAAATGTATGTATGTTTCTCGCATTGTGAAAAAACAACAGTACCTAGAGCCATCCGATTTTGAATGACGTAAACCTACTGCGAATATGGGCATCTGAAAGCCCAAATTTAAAGTTTAGAATTTGTTTCATTATCAATTTCATATTTTGTAAAACTTTTAACGAATTTTTGATTAACAAACTCAAAGATTTAAAAGCGAGCAATGGCAATACTCTACGAGGGGGAACCTTTTTACCTTCAGCGCATGGAACTGTGTATCAGAAATTCTAAAGATATGCTCATTTTAAAATTATTTTGCGACATTGCAATTCAACTGAATATTTTAAGTGAACATGATATTTAATAAGGAAAGTTTATGCAATAAACCTTTTAAGTGCAAAATGTTTTAAAATAACACCAAATGTTTTAAAAATGCACCTTTGGGGGTAATTTAAAATCTGAAACCTCTTTTTTTTTTTTTTTTTTTTTTTTGAAAGTTTGTTGTTTTCTTTTACATTAAAGGCATTTTTTCCTCGCTCTCTCGGTATATAGCTTTAATGTAAAATAGCAATAGTTTTCGTTACAAAACGTCATTGATTGAGACGTGTTTTCAGAAAAATGGATGAGAAAACCTTACAGTGATTATTTTTCAATTTCTCAATAAAAATATTAAGACAAATGTACATTTTGCCAGTTGTACAATCTATTGGCTGCTTGTAGTAAATATGCATACGTAAAATAAAATGAGATTAAAAATTGGTTACCATTTTAATTATCAAAATTTAAGTTGAATATAAGACTAATTTTAAAATTCAGTGTGAAATTTTGTCCTGTTTATGACAGATCAGTTTCGTTATGTCAGGTTTTATTTCAATTAGTTTTAGCCATAAATTAGGATCCACTTTTAATTTTGTTCTGTATTTATTTTTCAAATATAACATAGAAGAAAATTCTTCATCACACAAATAGGTTGAGCAAAAAGGCAATAAAAACTTAATAGCTGTATTTGAAATGCCTTTAAATTCTTCCCTCCCCCCAGCTAAAAGTTAACAAGTATGTTATTTCTGAAATCTTCAGCAAGAGTTTGATTACATGAAATTTCTATTAATTGTTCTTTTTCTTTTTCATTTTTTTTTCCACGAGATAAAATTTCAGATATATTTGAACAAAATGGATTTCTAATTTTCTTTTTCATAATCCTTGGGAAAATACATGTTAACTATTTATCAATGAAAAACAATGATTTTTAATGTCTTATTTTCGGTTAGAAAACTTAAACTTTCTAAATGTGGTCGTTACATCAGTACTTTCATCTAATTGCAATGCAAAATACCTGCTGTGTTTTATTTTTTGAAAAGGAGTCTCTTTTATGGAATTTGCCTTTTTATGGATTTGTCGAATTACTGCATCATTTGATAACGGAATGTTATTAAGTTCATTAGTTTTTTTTTTTTTTTTTTTTTTTTGTTGAATTATGTCAAAAGGATATGTTTAACTGCTGGTAATATAAGGTTTCCTCCAATAGTGTAAGCCTGCCCAGTCTTAATAATTTTTAAGCTTACCTGGTAACTAGCTTCCAAAGCTGTTTCACTTGAAGTAATTAAATCTTTGATTACTTGTTTACCATATTTCAGCTCCACTAATTTCCTCTTAAAACTTTCTTCAGATTTATCCTTTAAATTGGAATGGTTAGATTTATGATGTCTTTTAAGAAATGATGATTTCATACTTTAATTGGATAATAGTTCACTGCAAAGAACACATTGGGTCCATTTCATTTCTATTTAAAGTAAACCCAAATGATAAATAATTTTAATTATATTTTCTATAAACATTTTTTCTTTTCTTTTTCATATTCTTAGTGCTAGTAGATTGTCCTATATCCATCACCTGTGAATTGAATAAGTTTGACTAAACTTTTCCACTTAGTCACTCCTAGCCATTTTTCCATTTTGAAAAATCTAAGTTTGTTTCATTATTATTTCACAAATATTTAAATGCACAGTATATTACGAGTTCTTCAAAAACAAATGACGATTTCTCAAATCGCCTAGAAAAGTAAGGAATACAAAACAACAAGAAGACAAAATACCTGCTGTTAGAGACAAAAACTCATCGTAAAAATGAATATAATTGAAAACAGAGCAATGTGAGCCCAGAAAGCATATTTCCAAACCCTGCCCCACTTTTTGAATTTTGGACATCGACTAGCTTCACCTGGACGATAATTCTTGAGCATGTGCTGAAGGGCGAGAAGTAACGTAAACAGAACTTTGGCTTGCACTTGTAAAAAGTATATAGTCATTTGTTTATGTAACTGCATAATTTGACTGTTTCTGTAATAAGAAAACTTCATTCGGATAAAAATTATTTTTATATTATCTGGCTATAGGATTATATGAAATGCTGAATCCTGTAGGTACGATCATAATCTTCACATACCTTTCACACTGGATTTTCCCAAATCATTGTAAAATAACCATAACCATAACACAATATAAACCTGAATTGCCAGTGCTGTGAGCAAACAGGCATAGAAATCATAGGAACCGTACACACTCAAGCAATGGTTAAGATAATACTAAATGATCCTCGTTCTTTCTGCAAAAAAAAAAAAAATTGCATATCTTACTATCAGATCTTTGACAACTTAGGATACTAAACATAATCATTACTCAAACACCTGTAATTATAATGCACTTACTGGCCTTTTAAATGCTAATTAATAATACGAGGGCCATCCAGGAAGTAGATTACGTTTCCGTCTGTGTCCGCTAGGGGCGGGGCTAGCGCGGCCATCTTGGGGTCAGAGCGTTGCGCAGCTCAGTCTGCATCTAGCCGTGCTAGTGAGAGGTTCGTGCTGTGCTCCATTCAGATACTGTGACAGTTTGAAATGTCTGCGTTAATTGAAAATCCCGCGAGCTGCGAGGTGCGCTCAGTAATAAGGTTTCTGACTGCAAAAAACTGTAAACCGATAGAAATCTATCGGCAGCTTCGTGAAGTGTATGGGGACAACATTATCACTGAAGGTGGAGTGCGTCAGTGGGTCATAAGATTTCAAAATGGCCGAACGAATGTTCACGACGAAGATCGAAGTGGGAGACCCAGCATAGTGACCGCCGAACTTCTCGAAAAAGTCGATGCTAAAGTCCGTGAAAATCGAAATTCCACAATAACGGAACTTTCTTTGAGTTTTCCACAAATTTCGCGAAGTTTGTTGCACGAAATCATCAGCGAAAAGCTTGGTTACCACAAGTTTTGTGCAAGATGGAAGGCAAGAAGAGGTAACGAAGTGGTTGTGAAGGCGCAGGCAGGCCGAATTTTTCGACGAAGGAATTTCCAAGCTCGTACATCGCTACGATAAATGCCTTAATTTTTATGGTGTGACTATGTAGTAGAAAAGTAGTATTTGAGTGTGGCTTTCATCTGTATATAATAAAATTTGTTTCCTATACTTTGTTTATTTTTTTATTCCAAAACGTAATCTACTTTCTGGATAGCCCTCGTATTTCTGTGAGAAATCCACCTTCAATGCTTATGTAGCAGAGAAATGTAACAAGCATTTTGGAAGCTTTAAAATATAAGCTATACAATTTTATGTAAGAGACATGATAATTTACGTTCATTCCTTTTAAATCCCCATA